CATAGGGTGCAGGGTGCTCAGCATGCAGGGTGCTCAGCATGCAGGGTGCTCAGCATGCAGGGTGCTCAGCACACAGGGTGCTCAGCATGCAGGGTGCTCAGCACGCAGGGTGCTCAGCACACAGGGTGCTCAGCATGCAGGGTGCTCAGCACGCAGGGTGCTCAGCATGCAGGGTGCTCAGCACGCAGGGTGCTCAGCAAGCAGGGTGCAAGGTGATGAGCACACAGGGTGCAGGGTGCTGAGCCGGTGTGTCCTCCCCCCGTTCAGCCTCCCCCCGGCCCCTCTGTGGGCACTGAGTTGCGTCCCTGGTGAAGCCGGGGTGGTTGGTCCGTGTGCCTGGGAGCGGGGTGTAGGGGGGCCCTGGGAGCGGCTTGGGGGGGGCCCCAGCGCTCACCGCGTCCCTCTGTCCAGCCGCAGGCGTCCGTCCCGGCAGCAGCCAGTAGCTCCTGTCTCGGTGCCAGCCGGTGCCCCACAGGGTAAGGCCACCAGGGCTCCCCTTGCTCCTGCCCGGGCCCGTGTCCATGTCCTTGCTCCTGTCTGTGCCCATATCCATGCCCATACCYGTGCCCATGTCCATTCTAGTGCCCTTGTCCTTGGCCATGGCCATATCCATGACCATGTCCTTGACTGTGCGATTGTCCATGTCCATATCCATCCCTATACTCATGTCCATGTCCGTGTCCAGCCCACGTCTCTGTCCATGCCCCTGTCCATGCCCATGTTCGTGTCCAGCTCTGTGCCCATGTCTGTGTCCTGGTCCGTGCCCATGTCCGTGCCAGAGCAGCTCCCACTGCAAGCAGCAGCGGGGCAGCACGGCCCTTTCCCCAGGTGCTCCGAGAACACACGGGAGGAAGACGCTCTGAGGACAAAAATGAAGATTGAGTCAATGCTCCCAAGCAAATCCCCCGGCTTCGTCAGCCCCGCATTCCAGCGCTGCCGGCTGCGGGTCTGTGCCCGCGAGCCCTGCGCTTCCCGTGTCCCCCACGTCCTGGTGCTGGCTCCGCTCCGCRGGCTGGGGGATCGGAAGCACCAGCTCCCTGTCTTTGCTCCCTGTCTGCACCGCGATTTGTTGACTGGTTGAAAATGATTCTTTGCTGTTTCTAGTGATTTTATACTTCTGGAGGGGAAAAAAAAAAAAAAAGCCTCCCAGCTAAGCCGCAGGTGACCTGGCTGGGCTGTTCACAAACATTTGTGCTTTGAGGCGACGGGGATAAACACTGCGCTATGGGGCAGCCTCCGGGTGGGTTTGGGATGGCTGCGAGGCGGATTCCGGCCTCCCTCTGCCCTGGAAAGGGCTCTTCTCCCTCCACAGCCGTCACAGGGCCACGGCGAGGAGGGGAGGACGCCCTGGGCCCTGGGGACTGCAGCCCCACCATGGCTCCTGCGCGCTCTGTTAACGGGTTGGAAACTGAATTTCACCCTGAATTTCTGTTCAACTCGAGGAGGCTGCAGCGCTCTTATAATTGCTCCTGCTCTCATGCATGCAGGAGAACAGCAGGTTAGCTCTGCGGATACCCAGGGAGGTAAAGGTTGCTTTGAAAACCAGACACCTGCTCCCCTGCATTGCAGGAGGACGTGGAGAGGACGCAGAGGGGCTGCGGAGGGGACACAGAGGGGACACAGAGGGGACGCGCTGACTTGTGCCCCGCCAACCCCTTCCTGGCCCACGCGGGCACTGGATGCTGCTCAGCGCTGAGGTCCAGCTGCTGGCAGGTCTCTCATCGGTGTCCAGTGGTTAAATATCTTAGTCAGCTAATGGGGAAAAAAAGTCTGAAAAAATACTTGGAGGGTAGAGTGACACAGATGAAARAATTAGGAAAATGATATCAAAGAATGGCACCAAAATGGGAGCTTATTAATAGGAAAGTCAAGAGATAAAACTAATTCAAAGCTAATGAGGCAAGACAGCTCATCTTCAAGAGAAGGAAGAGTCAATAGTGGCTGTGAGCCGGGAAAATGAGCGGCCGGGGAAGGAGGTGGCGGCGGCACGGGGACAGGGACAGGGACAGGGACAGGGCCGGGGCCGGGGCCGGGGCCGGTGTCCCGCGGTGGGGACGCCCCGGGGGGGCAGGACCCCGCAGAGCCCGCGGGTGGCGAGGCGGGGCGGCGGGCGCGGGTCTGCGCGGCGCGGCCCAGGGCTGCCTGTTCCCGCGGGGCTGCGAGCGACCGGCTCCGTCCCAGCCCCTGCGGAAGCGGGCACAGCGGGAGGCCGCGGACACCGCTGCGAGGGTGTCCCGAGACCGTCCTCGGGCTATTCCGAGACCGTCCTCAGGCTAAGGAGCTGCAAAGAGGAGCAAGCGGCCGCTGCGTGGAGCGCAGAGTCGGGACCGGGGACAAACGGGCTGCTCTGCAGGGCTGCTGCATGGTGGCAGCAAGGACCCGGGAAGGAGAGGGGTCCTGGAGCCACATGCGGCACCAGAACCTGCTTTAATCTGGATCAGATCAAAGGCTGCTGTGATAGGGACACTCAGAGCTGCCACCTCGCTAAGGGCCACCGAGCGTGCCCCACGCGCAAACAGCTGAGCGCCCCGGCTCTGCGCCGCTGCAAGCCGCTGTGTGTCCGAGCGGAGGGTCCCGGCAGGCCGGCGCTGYCCTGCTGAGGTGCCACCCTCCCTGCAGCGCCGGTGCTGCCGGCTGCGCGGGCCGGGCGGGTCTGACCGCCCGGTCCCACGTTTCGATCTGTTCCCGCACGTAACCAGCGCGGCGCYGGCGCTCCGTCCTGAACGCTTTACACGCCAAGCACACGGCTTCTATGGATGYCTTCTGTTAATTCCCCAGCGATTACCAAGAGAGACTGTACTAGCAAATGACTGGGAAGTAGATTCTTGCAGATTTTTTTCCTACATGTTTTTCAAGGCAGTATTTTCTAGGAATAGTCCAAGGCAGGGATTAAACAGAAGCCTCCTTGACTTAGGAATCCCTTCTGTACAACAGTGAGAATAGAAAATTGGGAACCTGGGAATATAAAGAGCAGAAAGGGCAAGCAAATAGTTCCCAAGCCACGGGAGTAAATAGCTTTTTTACAGGCAGTTTGGTTTTGTTTCCTGAGGCTGCTGCCTTCCAGAATCAGGTTGTTGTTGCCAGTGGTTTTCTTCCCRAGGGAGCACGTAGGGAAGAGCAGGTTGGGAGCAAAGAGCAGCGCTGGGACTGTGGAAATTGAACTGGATAGGGGTCTTCTTACCATGTCGAGGTAACACATCCTGTATTTGTGTTTCTTTACAAGACCCAACCGCAGAGACGCAAGCAGCTACGCATCAACGCCATGGTTCAGCCCCTAGCTGCCCTTACAGCAGAAGCCCTGGCAAAACAGATCTTTCTTCCATCAATGAGGCACTGAAATATAAARCCAGTTCAGCTTTGGGCAGCAGAAAGGCACAAATCATTGAGGGAACTGAGCCTGCCTTGGAATCCAGCACTCTGGTGCCTGCAGAAGGGGAGAGAAAAGGTGCGGGAAGGGGCATTGAACGGGCTGCGGGTTTCACAGCAGCTTCCTTCCAGGCACAGCCCTAGCGCCAGGCAGCGCAGACACTGCCCCGGAGCTCCAGCCCCAGGAAGGAGGCTGCTCCCGGCGCTGCCGCACGGCTGACAGCCCCAGGGGCCTCGCGCGGCTGCCTGCAGCGCTCAGCCCACGGCCGCGGCCGCTGAGCTCCGAGGAGGGACATGATCCATGATCCCTGCAGCTCCAGGGGCTCTGCAGCTCCACGATCCCTGCAGCTCCAGGGGCTCTGCAGCTCCACGACCCCTGCAGCTCCAGGGGCTCTGCAGCTCCAGGGGCTCTGCAGCTCCACGATCCCTGCAGCTCCACGATCCCTGCAGCTCCATGATCCCTGCAGCTCCGAGAGCACTGGGCATTGGCACCTGCCCAGCAAAATGCAAAACCCATCTCTCCTGTTCATTACTCCCTTGTTCTTCGAATAATGATTGTAAAAGGATCACAGCCGGTCTCAAAGCAGGATGGACAGGGGAGGGGGCCCTGCTGTCAGAGTTTCTCGCTTGGAAATGGGTGGTCATGGAGAAAAGGTCGGAATGAACAGAGAAAGGTGCGTGTCAGCCCTTCTCAGGAGGTGTTGGCCACAGTTTTAACAGGCACATGAAAAATGACCTGAAAAAGATGCTGCAGGGTAGCTAACCTGGTTATTTTTATTAGCAAGTACACGCTGGCTTTGGTACCTGTCACTTTTGAGTGACGATGCTTACGTCCTGCTTCTTCCCTTGGTATTTCAAACCAAACAGGCCTCTCRGTTCCTTAAAATCCTCTTGTCAAAGCCTTACACCCACTGCACAGCAGGGGCCTCTGAAGTGCTTTGTGAATTTGGGCTAGGACGCTGCCCGCTCTGGGGACGGGCTGGCTGCACAGAGCCGCATTTCTTAACACTTGGACACCCACACGGATTAGTGCTGACTGTGCAGCGCCAAGAGCCACCTCTGGGAGGAGAGAATTAGCTTTGGGGTAATCAGCAAAATGYATTTGTTGCTTAAGCGAAGGTTTAATGAACACTCAGCGAACCATGCTGTTTTCAAAGAGATATAATTGTAACTTAGACCCTGTGGAGGAGGAGAAGAGACTTTTTAGCAAAACTCTTTCATGTTAATTTAAAAATCCTGCAAATTCAGATTGGAATTACTTTACAAAGACTTGATCAGCTTCTTCARTATTTCTCACTGGACAGAGCCTTTCATAACGTTCTATTTTAACAACAAGTTATCCCTATGAAAAGGAATGACTCTGTCTCACATCTTGCAAGAGACTTTAGCCCCAAGTGCAAGTTATAGCTATTTGCTTCAATGTGGCAGACAAAGTTGGACCGTGGCAATGTGGCCCATGTTAACTGTGGGTTCTGATTTAAATGCAATTGTAAGGTGAACTTCAAGAAGTTACTGGCCATTTAAATTGGTACCAACAATTTCTCCTCTCCAGTAAAGCAGAGGGAAGGACATATCAAAAAAAAAAAAAAAAAAAAAAAAAAGAAAAGGAGCCCCAAACTCCTTGTGTTTGCACCAGAAGTTCTGACAGGCAACACTTGGCTGCCCAGTCCTTCCAGTATGCATTTCCTTAGGCCCAGGGACAAGTAGATCCCTCTAGCCTAGATCCTCATATCCCCCATGCAAATGGCACGTTCCCCCAGTCCTTGGATATGACACACTAAGCATCATCTGTGCACGTTAAACACGACTTCACATTCCACAGTTCTGCGCCACACTCCATCACACAAGCAGGAGGCAGGTTCTCTGTTAGCAGTTCCACACACTTCCTACCAGTGAAGTTATTGATAYTTGAAAGAAAATGTACAAATCTCCTCTTGAGTTGTTTGTCCTCTTGTGCTGTCCCTCTTCAGCAACAGTCGGGGCTGTATTTTCTAGGTGCTGCAGGCTTTTGCAGCTCCTAAATGCAGCTGAGCTAGTTGCAATGTCCTGCTCTGCAGACATCGATTTTGCCATCTGGGATGAAACAGAGGACATGATCGATGACAGACTGACCTGCAGCACAGCAAGGGGCAGGAGCAGGGCCAGAGCACCAGGGAAAATATGAGATCTTGCAGTCACTGGGTTGGGCAAGTCCAAGCGCAGCTTCTGCCCCTTTTGTCTACAAAGCTGCACAGATCTATAGTGGAAAGTCGTTGCCAAAAGGAAAACGAAAATCCCTAGTTTTGCCTCCACTTCTGCCTGACCAAACTTCTTGTTTCTTCCTGGGGAAATCTGCTGCTTTTGCCCCACATCTGCAGGGATGCATCAACAACCGGCGGAACGGGAGAGGGAGGTTCGGCAAAGCGGGACTCCCTTCAAGGTCTGAGAGCTGGCAGAGGTTACCTGAAAGCAACAGCACAACAGTCCTTAGGAACAAAGACACTTATAAAGATCTATTTTAGTTTTAGGCTCTCCTGGCAGCAGCTGCTCTAAAGCACAGCACAGTGCAGGAAAAAACAGCCCAAGAAAACAAACTTTCTAGGCAGGTCACCTTCACCAACACGTAGTCTCCTGGCTGGACCCTGACCAGAGCTTCGCCTGCTGCATCCTCTACTTCGGCATCAGGGAAAATCACCTTGATGTTGCCATCGTTCCTCCCACACAGCTCCGAGGGAGAGCGCTTGCTGGGCTGTAAGGAGAATAGGGAACATTAGCTGAGTAGCAATAACTCTGATTCACTGCTGGGCTTTAGCACAGCAGGAATTAATTGAGCACTATCGGCAGTATTAAAATCCACTTTCCACACTGTTAAGCATGCTGTGAAACAAAGTCCTACGGCCAGAGCTGCTGTGTTGGGAACTGCACACGAAAGCCAGTCCTAGAAACCCTGTGCTGCTTCAGAGCTTGGCTCCAGACCAGTCTCCACCTATGCCATTCATTTCCAGCACTACCGGCCACAGGAGCCTCMTCTTCACAAGTGCACAAAGGACCAACATGCTGCCTGTGTCATGCCAACAAGCATTAATTAATCATTTTAGCCTCATCCAGCTGCCTGATAGCTATCTTTGAACTTGGACCAAGGTTTTTAGAAGCAAGGTGGCTGAAGCCCTAAACCAAAGGGATCATACACTCACTAGGCAGCAACCTGTGCTCAGCTCAGCACTCTGGAAAACGTGCACAGACCTGGTCTTGGAGCCCTAGGAATATGTGATGAGATGGAAAGATAGAAAGCATACCATTGTGTATAGACTTAGAGGCCCTTGATCAGCAGCCAGAGGGGAGAAGGGCAAGTCCATGGTCCAGGCACACTCACCCCCTCCACCAGCACCACCTGCGAGCTGCCCACGACGGCCCCGTTGGCCCTCGCGGCCTCCTCCCTGAAGACAGCAATGAGCTCCTCCAGCCGCCTCCGTTTCACATCCGCGGGCACGTCGTCTCGCAGCCGGTGATATGCCCGCGTTTTCTGAAAGCGGACAAGGCAAGTGTGGCTCCKCCAGAACCCGACAACCCAAGATCAGAACCTGGTCTCACCCCAGCCATCTGGGCTGCATTTCAAGTAAGCAACAGCTCTTCATGGGTCACCTGCTCTATTTGCACCCTCAGGGAACATCTTTAGCTGCTGTATGCACTGCTCTGGCAGGATCCCAAGCACCAAAAACATCCTTGACTTCCTCACACTCTTTCTGTACCATCTTTTTGGTGGAAGTACGGGGTATTTGGGCTGCATAAGGCAGAAGTTCAGCAGCTCCTGTGAGCTGGTGTCTGTTGCCTCGTTGTCCACAAAGACAGTCTATGGATGCTACTACGTTTAGTTCCATGTTCTGCAGGCTGATCCATACTCCCTTTTTCCCCCCCCTCACACTTCCCAACCTCCTGCCCTTTCTCCCCACCAGCYTCTTATGCCCTGAAGGGAATCTTAATGGAAACTTGTCAAGCATCACCTCTTTTGCTGGTTATTCCTTCCGAAAATTCACCAGTTCTCTCCAGCCCTGACTGACAGAAAGCCTCTGCAACTGGACTCAAGCCCAGCCACTTCAGCACAATTTTTCACCAGCAAAGACAAATGTACCTGCAGTCAGGTCCCTGCAGACACGGCTGCTCCACCGCAATCACTCTGGAGTGTCTGCAGAACCAGGTAACCCAATCAATAATCAACCCTGTTGCTCACCCAGGGGAGCTGGAAGCCTCATAGGCATAAAAGTTGCTCTGCAGAGCATGCTGAGAGGCGGTAAACCCTGCAGCTTCACTGCTCTTGCYCAGCATGAGCACCAAACAAACCCACATGCCCTTGAAGTGTTGCATGGAAGCAAAAAGCTTCACCAACATCTTGAGTCTCTAGGCATTATTTTCAAAGAGACTATGAGAAACAACCCTCAGGAGTGAGGAACAAAGTAGAAAATGAAAATTTAGGTGAGATGACTACACAGAGGAGAGAGCCTTCTCCCCAGATCCTCCACTCACCTCTCTCATGCTGTAGGCAAACAGGAAGCCTACGTTGTAGCGGACCTCCCGCAGCAAGGACACAGTCTGCTGATGATCTTCTTCTGTCTCCCCACAGAACCCAGCGATAAAATCGCTGCTCAAGCTCACTCCTGTCACAGACACACAGAACAGACAGTAAGATACAATCGTGCTGAGGTCAGACGGAGCCAAAGGGAGCCCCTACCTGGAATGGAGTCCCGCACGTGCTGTACCAGCTCTAAATAYGCTTCTCTTGTGTACCTGCAACAAGTAACACATGGATTTGCTGGTCAAAAAATCGTGACGTCAGTGAAGAGAAAACGGCACCCTGAATCGAAGGCCAGGAGAGGGGCTCTCCATGGCCACCACTCACCCCCGTCTCATAGCCTCCAGAACTCGAGTGCTTCCGCTCTGGGCTGGGAGGTGAAGCTGTTTGCAGATGTTGTGTCGCTCCTGGATAAGCTGGAGGACCTGCGAAGGGCATTCAGAAAACAGTCCCAACACTGGCCCAACTCTGTCAGAATGTCAAAGGGAAGAATCTTCCCCAAGCAGAAGCCAGAAAATCACAAGCCTGTCAGCTTCAGCATAGTCATCTCCCCACTCCCAGGACAGCTGTTCCGTTTGGGAAGAAGGCACGAAACACACATACCAGCTCACAGCTACCTGCCTGCAAACAGAGGTCCAGGTGTCTATTTTACACTTGCCTCATCAGGAAAATCCTTAGGGTGTGGAGAGGTGAAACGGATCCTCATTTCTGGGTCAATTCTGGAGACCTGGTCCAGGAGATGCGCAAAGCGCAAGCCTCCTGGCTTGGGTTTGTAGACTGTGCTAAAGCCACGGCTGAGARCTGCGGGAGCAGCCGACTGGAACTGCACCTCAGACATATCTCGAAAGCTGTTGACGTTTTGACCCAAGAGAGTCACTTCTTTCACTCCCTAAGAAGATAAATAGAGGCAAAAAATAGACATAACTTGGAAGGTTAAAGCTACAGAAGCAGCCATGGTTTTACTCGTACTTTAAGGATGAGTTTCCAAGAGCATCCCTCCCTTTTTGTCTGTCTCGCAGTTACAAGGGCAATTAAAAAGTAACTGCTGGACCTCGAGGTAGTCTTTATCTCCAGAGAAAAAAGCTGCATCACCAGTGAAAGGTGCCACCCAAAACCAATGCTTTCACTGAGGACCACAGTGTGRGACAGCTGGAAGGAGGCTGTGCCTAACCTGATCCGAGAGCATCTTCACTTCCTGCAGGATGGAGGCAATGGGCCGGCTCCTTTCCCGGCCACGGGTGAAGGGCACAATGCAGTAGCTGCACATGTTGTCACAGCCCCGCATGATGGATCTGCAGCGTGGAAAATGTGGGTCAGCGCTGGGACCATCCGGAAGAACCACCCGTGTCACAGCCTGCCCTGCTCTGACCCAGCCTTCAGCCAGCCCAATTCCAACGCTCGTTCTGCAGTGCACACAGCACCCACTCTGAACCCAGTTTTGCAGTTTCCCCATAAACAGAAGGGAAAAAAAAAAACAATAGAAATGACAATATGTGGAAGGTTAGAAAAATTAAATAGGAAAATGTGACAGGGCGTAGCAGAAGGCAGGGATGAGTAGCACACATTTTCAAACAGTACGAATGTTGGTGGGTCAAAAATCCCTTGGTGCAGCAGCAGGATTAGACCATCAGCACTCTCAAGGAGAGTGACAGAAGCCCAGAGCCAGCCAGGGCTCAGGGCAGCCTCTCCAGGGCTCGCTCGGAGAGCAAAGAGGCAACGAATGCTCGGGTAAACTGGGGTCTTGGGTGCTGGGAGCGAGTGCAACCAGGCACTACATCTCTTGGGTAGCTGCTGGCACTGACACGTCTATTCTGCACAACAGCATTTCCAAAACAACCGTAGGAACTCGGACAGGAAAACAAGGTACTTACACAAATGCTGTCGCACCACCTGCACTAGTCTGGACAGGCAAAATATCCGCGTAAGTCTCCTCCAGTGACAGCAGGACGTTGGCAGCTTGCTGGCCGGATTCTGCCACTGCCAGCAGCCTGGGGAGGTCACGATACGCATCAGGGCCTGCCACAATATCCACTAGCTTCTCCCTGTGCAGAATCTTCTCCTTCAGCCTCTCAGCCATGCATCCTGCCACCAAAGCAGAGCGGTGTCCGTGAGGAAGGGCCCATCCCCAGTGACACCTCTGCACCCCTCACTAGCTGCAGAAAAGGCTTGATGGCACCAAAAGAGGAAAGGAGACGCAGCATGATAGGGGTATCAGAGCAGCGCGTGTTCCCCCCACAGCGTGTCCTGCCAGGTACCTAGAATCCCRATGTGCAGAGGTAAGCGAGCCTGGAGCCGCCGGGCCTTGAGGGCCTTGAGGTGCTGCAGGCGATTCCAGATGGCCTGCTCTGCCTTCTCCCTGCGGGGCAGGAAAACAGAGGTTATTTCGACTTGCAGCTGCTCCAACACGAAGGCACAAAAGCTTTGTGAGGAGGATTAACTAAACACAGGGAACTGTCCACCTGATCGATCAGACTGCACGCGGACGTGCTGCTGCTGTACGTATCRTGCCTGGGCTCTGGCATATCTACTCCCATTTCCCTTGGGTGGGGGCATCTATGCTGTGGAAATGACCCAGGGACTAAGCTCCTGCAGAGAAGGCCTGACCTAGCCAGCAAGTGCAAGTCACCTCACAACTGAGAAGGAGCTTTTGCACTGCTTTCTGAGAAATAAAGTCAAGCCAAGTTCCCTATAATATTTATAGATCTATTTCCCAAATTTCTCAGAAATGCATTTCCCCAATTTCTTGGTATTGGCCCTATACTGCCATGACATTCACACCAAAGAAACAAAGACAAGCAAAGCTCAAAGAAACCCAGATCTGTGCTGGTCTCTAACTGCCACTCATGACATCCTCAAAGAGCGCACAGTAGCAAAGAGCTTCTCCTTGCTATAAGGAACATTAATTTACAACACAATTAATGTCGTATGCAGCAACATCAGCTACCTCTGTCCTAAACTAAATGGCAGTTTCATATCTGTAGTCTCTTTCCTCAYAGAACATATTTACTCGCTTGGTTTTCAAACAGAAATGTCTTTAAACTGTCCACAAAACAGAAGTGACAAGAAGTTCCTTACCTCACTGAGCAGGTAACGAGTAGAACCACATCTGCCTAGAGCAAGGATTGAAAAAAACAAAAGGAGAACTTGTAAAAGCCACCAAGAATTACTAACCCGCTGCACAGAGCACGTGAAGAGGCCGACTATCAAACCGCCCAACTCATGGAGTCAGCTGTGCCCAAACACAGAGCGGGGTTCAACCTGGGCAAGGGCTTCCACCTGCCGGGGCAGTCACCTCACACGTCCATGACGCTCGGAATAGTCCTTCAGGCTCATCAAGCCCAGCCCTAAACCCACCAGCGCCACGTCCCTAAGCGCCCCATGAGCCAGGGGCCCCCGCTGCGCCCAGGTCCCCTTCCAGCCAAGCCAGAACGCGGCGGCGCCGGGGAAATACCCCCGACTGCTGTGCATGGCGCTTCGCTTGCCCCGCGCCCGGCGGCCGCTGCGGCACGAGCCGCCCCGCGGCCTCACCTCGCCGAGCGCCCGCGCCCTCGCGTAGCCGCTCCTCTGCAGGATGGCCCAGGCGATGGCCGCGTCGTTGACGTTCATCTGGCAGCCGTAGGTCTCCAGGTACACTGCAAGGGGACGGGGTGACGGCCAGGCCCGGCGGGGAGGCCCCCCGGGACCGTGACCGCGCCGAGGCCTCCCCGCAGCACGCACCTTTCCTGGCCGCCGGGGCGGGCCCGGCCGCCGCACACGGCCCCGCCTGGGCCTCGGCCCCGGCCCCGGCCCCGGCCGCCGCGGCGCCGCCGAGGAAGTGCCGCAGGTCGGGCCCGGCGGGCAGCGCGGCGCGGCGGCCCCGCTCGCCCGGCCCGCCGTGCGCGGCGCGGAGGAGGCGCCCGCCCGCCCGCAGCGCGCGCCGCCACGGCCGCTGCAGCGACAGCGACAGCGCCATGGCTGCCGCCCGAGCTAGGCCGCGCCAGGCCGCGTTGTCATGGCGACCGCCACGGGGGGGCGGAATCGCGGACGGACCCGCCGGCTCCGCCCAGCCAATCGCGCGCGGCCGCCGCGCGCGGGAAAAGTGGTTCCCCGTCGCCCCTGCTCCGCGGCGCTGCCGTTCCGCTGCCGGCCGCGCTCSGCTTCCCGCTCCCAGCGCAGGAGGGATAAAAATACATCCCCCCCCGCCCCCCCCCCGAGCCGGCCGGGCCCGGTGCCCCCGAGAGGGGCGATGGGGGGGTCGATAACAGCCCTGGGGGGCGATAACAGCCCTGGGGGGCACTGCTCGCCACAGTCACCACAGGAGGGTTCCTGGGGAAGGGGCAGAGTGGCGGCCATGGCTGCAATGAGCAGGGCGAGCGACGGGCCCCACGGCCGCCCCGCGGGACCGCGCGGCTCTGAAGGCACCGGGACCGGGCACCGGGCGCTATTGGCAGTGCAGGACAGGAGCCGGGGCCGGGCACAGCAGCTTTATTGGCGCTGCAGGGCAGCCCCGGGGAGGAGGCAGCCCCGGGCTCGGTGCCGGCGCCATGACGAGGAGGCCGAGGATGCGGCCCCGCAGCCCCGGGCGCTCCCAGCGGCAGCCCGGCCGGCCCGGGAGCCGCCGCGGGAGGGTCGGTGCCGGCGCCCGGGCCCGGCTTTCACGCTCTGCGCTCGTAGCGGACGTCGGYGCCCAGCAGCAGCAGGTTCTGCGGGAGGCAGAGAGGGCGGCCATGAGGCCCGGGCAGCGCCTGCCCCGGGACGGAGCGCAGAGGCTCCTGCAGCCCCGTCTTTCGGCTGCCCCAAGGGTGGCTGCGGCTGAACCCTTGTGCGTGCCGGCCGCCTGCGCAGCTCAGCCCCGTCTCCAAAGGGCCGGTGCCCGCCGCCGGGCGCTCACCTGGTGCCACTGCACGAGCACGTTGGAGAGCTGCGTGCGGCGCAGCAGCGGCAGCGGGAAGCCCTGCGCCAGGCGCGCTGCAACGACACGAGGCCGGGGCCGCGTGGACGGGGGGACACGCAGGGCAGCAGGGACCCCAGCCCTTCGTCCTCCTGCCGCRGCCCGGGGAGGGAGCGGGACCCCGCCATGGGCCCTGCACGGGGCTGGCGCCCGGCCTTGCCCCACTGCACCCAGAGGGTGCCGGCAAGCATCGGGGTTTGCCCGCAGGCCCTCTTGGCCCCAGGGATTAATTCCAATGGAGCAGCGCGCTCTGTGCCGCGGTCCCCAGGCCCCGCGGCTCCTCACCGTTGACACGCGGCAGCAGGATGCTGGAGGCCAAGATGTTCATCACCGACTGCAGCGTTCGCACCTGCGGGCGGACAGGGCAAGGAGGAGGCGTCAGCGCTGCTGGCCACGAGCGCAGGCGGGACCGCACGGGCAGCGCGGCACAGCCCTGCAGTGACAGCGGCGCCGCGTGAACCGCAGGGACCGCAGCCCCATGAACGCGGGGACCCCGGAGCAGGGCGCTCCGGGCAAGTTCAGCCCGGCCGCGGGCCACCAGCCGCCCTCTCACCCGCACTGATGGGCACCAGCTTCGGGAGCCGCTCGCCAAGCACACACAGCCCCCGCGGGCAGCTCACCTGGAAGGGGCCGACGTCCGAATGCTTCAGGGAGAGCCTGAGCCTGCAGAGACGCCGGGAGGCCGCTGAGCGCCTCGTCCTGGCGCCGCGTCCCGGCGCGGAGCCGCCAGCGCCCCGGCGGCTCCGCCGGAACGCAGGGCGAGCTCTGCCCCTCACCTGCCGACCGTCAGGTTCCCCACGATGCGGCCGGACTTCACGTCGACGCTGGCGGACACGTTGGCGGTCTGGGAAAGAGCACAGGCGCCCGGCGTCCTCAGCTTGGCCCCGCGGGACACGGCGGGGAGCTCACAAATGTCAGGGCACAGGAAGCCGTGCCCTGCTCACCAGGTTGAGCAGGAAGAGAGGAGCCAGGCTGGAGCTGGGAAGGATGGCGTACGCCTGGATATCCACAACGGGCCGGAGTGAGAGGCCGTTGGGACCGATGCTCAGGAAGGGGGCGGCCGGCGTGGAGAGCCGCAGCTTCATCAGCATGTCGGGGTACCTCTCCTCCAGCTGCAGGGGAGCAGAGAGGGTGGCCGGGAGAGCGGCACATTCCCGGGAGCAAAGGCCCCGCAGGCTGCGCTTCCCATGCCGGCCGCTCCCGGATACACCGTCCCGCCGCTTCCCATTCCCGCCGCGCCRCTCACCTGGGGGACGAAGGCCGAGAACGTGGAGGTGTTCAGGTGGAAGTCAAGGCCCTTGGGGATCTGCAGCAGGGAACAAGTCACTGCTGGGGACAGCTCGGCGAGGCCACATGGACGAGGCCGCTGGGGAGCGGGGCAGGATCAGCCCTTGCTCCCCGCGTGCCCTCGGCCTCGTCCGCCCCTCACCATGGAGTCCGTGAGCTCGAAGACCAGGGCGCCCGCYGTGTGGTAGACCAGGCTGGCCGTGTTGAAGAAGTAGCTGGAGGCGCCGAAGTAAACCATGCGGGCATGGTCGGGCGGGAGGGCGAGYGGCGCGGGGGAGAAGGGCACGGCGGAGCGGTGTGCCAGGGAGAAGAACTCGCCCTGCAGCGGGGGACAGGCACGGCCAGGGCCCCGTCTCCGCCGCCTCCGCCGGCAGCGGCAGCCAGACCGGCCTCCCGCAGCCGCTCACCTTCAGCTCCGCGTCCAGGGCCTGGGCGGCAGCCGCCGGCGGAGCCACCAGGGCGTAATCGATCCCCGCCACGGCGTCGATCTTGGCCGTGACTGCCGAGCACGGGGCGGGAAGGTGAGYGCCGCGGGGCCCGGGCGTCCCCGCGCAGCCGCCCCGCGTGCCCGCGCCTCCCGAGCCTCTTTGCAAGCAAAACATAGAAGTGATCACGTTTCCCTGCTCCCTCTGCTTCTGAGCACTGCGAGGAGCCCTGCACCTGAGCAGCTGCCTGGGGACAGCGGGGGCACAGTGACAAAGCCCTGCTCACGCAGCGCTCAATGGTTCCAGCATGGGCGGGGAAATAAAGGGAGATGGGGCAGAGGATCCAACACTCTTGATCCCTCGTGTCCCTCGTGGGCATGGCGAGGCAGCGCCCGCACGTACCTGGCAGCGTGCTGAGGTAGGACTGCAGCTCGCTGCGCACCGAGATCACCACCTGCTCGCACACCTGGGGGGGAAACACAGCGAGGGGCAGGGGCTGCAGCGAGGGGCAGGGGCTGCAGCAGGGTGCAGCAAGGTGCAGGGGCTGCAGCAGGGCACAGGGGCTGCAGCAGGGCGCAGGGGCTGCAGCAGGGCGCAGGGGCTGCAGCGAGGCGCAAGGGGCTGCAGCGAGGCGCATCAAGGCCCTTTGAAGGGATCCTGCTCAGGCCCTTTTTTCCCTCCTGCTCAGGATTTTCCCCGTGGCCTTTGCTAGCAGGGACTGTGCTGAGCAGCCAAGAGTTGCGCTTAAGCAGAGCAGCGGGAAGGGTTAATCCATCCCCGCAGGGGCCAACAGCTCTGTGCCGGTGAAGACCAGCTGGGTGCTGCTGGTCAGCAGGACCTCCATCCCTCCGTGCCCCCGCGCAGCCCGGCCCCATCCAGGAGAAAGAACGCTGGGCTTTMCTGAGAGACTTGAGCTAAACGCTGGCCCAGGAAACGTGAGGCAGGCGACGGTCCTGGGGCCACAGGCTGCCAGAGGCCTCTTCCAGTACTGCTCCCGCGGGGACACGGGAACRGCCGTGCTGGATGAGCCCCTCACTGGCCTCACCAGCGACAAGCACGGGGTGATGGTGCGGGGGTGATACTGGTGCAGGAGCACCAGAGCTTTGGGCACGTCCCCATGGACGCAGGGCACTGCTGCCCACTGTCCGCCAGCCCACGCTCATCCAGCGCTTCCCGGGAGGGACAGGCTGCCTCCCGCCCCTCATACGGCCCCTTTCCCTTGGAAAAGGCGCTGAAGATCCCTGCGTTTGGCAAGGGAGGCAGTGAGGAGGCCAGGGCCGCTCCACAAGCCACACTTGGCCCCGGCTGCAGTCGTGCTGCCAGCCCGTCTGCCGCTCCCGCTCCCCGGTGGCCTGTGCAAAGCCACTAGATGGCATCCGGAGTAGCCACAGGCGTCTGGATGCGGCCCCGGCTCTGCTGCCGGAGCGGATTTGCTCCTCTCCAGCTGCCTGCTTGCCGAGCAAGGTTCACGTCCAGCGGGGTTGGAGCTCCTGCCAGATTCCCTTGTAGCAATTACTGCTAACAGCTTGTTTCCGTGCCGTATCGCAGCCTCCCTGTGCGGGGCTGCGGGCACCGGGCTGCACCGACACTGGGCTGCCCACAACGGGGTGACCGACGAGCGCAACCCGCGGCGGGGACGGCCACTGCGCTGCCCCCGAGCGCAGCGCGCGGCGCTGCCAGGCTGAGGCGTGAGAGCAAATTGCCTGGCCGCAGGGAAAGGGAAGTCTCTGTTAATTAGGAGCCGTTTACACCAGGCATTGGCAAGGGCTGCAGATGAAGCGCTGGGCCTGGGCTGCGCTCGCCGGCGCTCCCGGTTTTCCCCAAAGYGGCCGCGTTCCCGCGTGCTCCGGCACCGCAGCACCGCCCGAGCGGCGGGAGCCGGAGCGAGGGGGCAGCGGGAAGGCTGGAGCCCCTCGCCTCCCCTACCTTGCTCTCCAGGCTCCTCCTGAACACGGACTCCACAGCGCTGTGGAAGAGGTTGTAGAGCCAGCTGCGGAGAAGAGCAGCGAGACGCCGTCACTCCCTGCCATGCCGGGAACGCTGCGGAGGTGCCGGCCAGGGAAGAGCGACACCGGGGACACGAGAGAGCGGAGAACATCCTTCCCGTGCTGGTTTGGGGGCCGGCTTCGCCGTTGTGCTTGCGTTTGCAGACAGACCCACTCACAACCAACATGCACACCAACGCGCTGCCCGCTGGAAAACCTCTCCCCGGACCAGATTTAAGTTCCTTCAATTGCATCTCTTAATGGGAATTGTATTGCAGGAGAGCAGAGGCAGCTGGGCAGCGGGGCACAAGGGCCAGTAGGTGCGGGGGCTCACAGGGCAGCCTGCAAGGGGCCACAGGTGCCAATATCCTATTCCTGGTGCCAGGGCCGCGCTCTCCTGGCGGGTGCAGGAACACCGAGCATTTCCAGGCTCCAGCAGCGAGGTCACGCACCTGAACTTGCCGGAGAAGTGCACCCGGACGCTGGAGAYGTGCGCGCTGCAGTCGGAGACGTCCGCCGTGGGCTTCCCAGATCCGTCGGTGCCCAGCTTCAGGCCAATTCCGATGGAGAGGCCCTCGACCTTCAGGTCGAACGAGCCATGGTCCCTGCTGTGGGGAGGGCAAGGAAGGGGTATTTTTCAGCAGTGATTCCTGCTAGTTGGACCCCAAACCAGCCGGAGCTTTGGGATCCATCTAGCTCTGGCTTCTCCTTGCAGAGAACTCCCAGAGAAGATGAGATTTCTAAACTCAGAAAGATGAGGTTTCAGGAGAAGAAAAGAGCGCAGACGCAGGCCTGCGGAGCGAGGCACCCRAGCGGCTGGCAGATGCTCTCAGCGAGGGCCGCGGGGCACCTACATGAAATGCACCTTCACCCGCCAGTTCCCGTCCAGCTCRGCGAAGGCGCCGGAGATGGAGACTTGCAGGCCCACGTTGGGGATCGGGGAAATCTGCGAGCTCGGCAAGCGGAAACTGCGAAGGTTTAACCTAGAAATAAAATTTTTAAAAAAAAGCACTTGCGAGGTGGCCCCTCGAGCCCGCGCATCTCCATCGCCTCACTTTGCATTTCTGCGATGCATCACCCTGCTGAACTGCTGCTTTGAGCTCAGTTGTGCAAAAAAAGCCCTTGCACCCCATGCTGTAGCTGCAGTTCCCCTTTGCACTGCGCAGGGCAGGGAGGAGCGTCCCAGCCCTCCGGGGACACGGACACCCCTGGGACACTGCCCAGGCACCGGGGCCCTTCCCAAGGCTCCGCGGGCAGGARGAGAGGGGAGGCGGGAACCGGGGCCCACCTGGAGAGCTCGTAATGCACCTTCCCCACGTGCCGCACCCGGAACTCGCCCGAGATGTCCGGCAGCCGCAGCTGGTGCAGCTCCTGCTCCAGGACGGCCACCCCGTGCTGACGGGCTGCAGGGACACGGAGACCCTCAGGGCCGCGCTCACCGCAGGGACTGCCGATGTGTGTCCTCCGCGTGCACAGGAGGGCACTAAAGCAGCCGCTGGCGAGGACCCGGCTCGCACCGCGCAGAGCGGAGATCCCGGCAGCTCCAGAGCTACCCCGAGGGCTGCAGGACTGCGACCCGGGGCTTCCCTAAGCCCCAGGGTCGCCAAGCGCAGCTCCGTCCCCGGAACAGCAGGAAAGCCGGGGGTCCCGGAGCCGCGGGGCTGCCTCGCTGCTCGGAGGAGGGAGGGGAGTTGTGTCCCGCTCGCAGGGCGGCTCCTCGAGGGGCCCGTTGATCCCGGTGCTGCGGAGCCGGCAGCTCCGCGCCGGTCTCTCCGAGACGCTGGGGCCTCGCGCCCAGCAGCCAGCGCCCCGCAGCAGCCCCGCGAGAGGGGCCACTGGGCACCCGACCTACCGTAGTCCAGGCCGGCCTGCGTGATCCTGACCACGAAGCCGGGGTTCGTGGCTGTGGTCAGCGCCAGGCAGGCGGCCAGCACTGCGCAGGCCAGGGCGGCCCCGCACGCTGCCCTCGCTGCCATGCCCGCTGCCCCGCGTGCTGCTGCCCCGCACGCCGCTGCCTTTATAGCCRCGGAAAGGGGAACCGCGCGGGGCGGCCCCGCACCCGGACAGCACTTCCTGCTTGGAAGCAGCCCTGCACCCGCCTGCCAGGTCCCAGCCCTGGTTCCACACTCACCCGCCCATTCCCAGCCCTGGCCCCGCACCCGCCTGCCCGGCATCTCTGCGTGGGGCCCGAGGGCAGCCGGGCCGGGCAGGGGCAGCTGCCCCGTCTGCAGCCCGGGTGCGGTGCCAGCAGCACAGGCTGGTGCCCGGCACGCGCTGCCGGCACCGCTGCCGTCCCTTGCCTGGCTTTGGGCTCTGCCCGGCTGCTCCTCCCGCTCGGGGCTGCCCTCGAGCTCTCCTGCCCCACRGGGCTCCAGCCAAAGGCACCAAGTGGAGCCCTGGGCAAAGCTCGGGTTCCTCCCACGTGGGCCAAGGGCCGGCACAGGGGCTGGGAGGCCAGAACTGGGCAGAAGGGAAGGCTGCTCCAAAGCCACGTGCTGCTCTCCTGTCCCGAAGGCAGCTCTGGCACAGAGCGGCCACCCAGGGACACCCCGTGGCCCGGTGCACAGGCCCGAGGGACCCAGTGTGTCCTCGCTCAGGACAGCGGGAAGCGGTGCATGGGCCAGGGCAGGGAGGAGGAGGAAGGGGGAAGCAGCTCGGCCGCTGCCGCCCGGGYGGGAGGGCGGGATGTTCCCGCACGGCAGCAGCTCCGTGTTCCCGAGCCCCGCGGCGCCGCCGCTCCCAGCCRCAGCACGCGCAGCAGAGGGAAGAGACCCTTCAAACCTCTTTCTTCAAACCTCTTTCACTTCCCTTTCTGGAAGTGGAGCGGGGCCGGAAACCCACGGGGCTGACTGGCAAACATCACCCCTGGATGCCCTCAGCCCTGGTGCCCCAAACCGCGCCTTGTGAAACGGAGCCGTTTCCCAACGTGGCTGTCAGCGCGGGGACGACGGAGCCGCGGGTAGAGCTAGAGCCTGCAGGGCMCACGTGGATGGGATGGCACGGGGACCTTGGGCACATGGAGCGGGRCTGCAGCAATGGGATTCCCACCTCTGGCGTGTCCTGCTTCCATGGTGTTGGCAAGGGGAGCTTGTGGCCATGAGACTTGCCCGTGGGCACAGCAAGGGGCCGAGACACACAGCAGCTGCTCCAGGGCAGGAGAGCTYAGATCCAGCTCAGTTCCCAAGGAAGGTGGAAGTTGGGAGCAGAGCAGCGCCCACGGCCCGGCCCTGCCTGCCGCTCCGTGCACCACCYGCTCCGAGGCCTCCTGTCCGCGATGCCACAGCCGAGCGGGTGKTTTCATAACGTTTAAGGCCTTCAGGACAAGCACGAAAGACACAACCTCTTCTGGGAGCAAAACGAGCTTTCATGGGGAGCCACGCGCAGAGGAAGCACGAGCAGGAAGGTTTCCACTTGGGTCAGAGCAGACTTTGAAGCTGAGCCGAGACTCTCCCACGYGGCACCGACCGTGCCAGCACCCAGCAGGCTGCCCCGTGCTGCCCCGCCGCCCGCGCGGACACGGGCGGCACAGGAGGGTGGTCGCGAGCCAGGGCGCCCGGGCGCAGCGGCCCCATGGAGCACTACGGGCTGCGTTTCGCTGCCCACGAGCGCCCGGGCTCTGCGACCCTGCCCAGGGGCCCGGCCGGCGCCTTATCGSGCTCCTCTGTTTGCCAAGCTCCGCTCCGGCAGGAACCGTCGGCCRGGGACGCACTTGGGGAAACCCCAGGCCGGGCGGCACGGAGAGCGGGGCTGAGGGCACGGAGAGCGGGGCTGTGTGGGGTGCAGGGCAGCAAGGAGCCCTGGCGGGGCAGGGCTGTCCAGCCCCCACACACGTCCCCGCACGGCCACTCACCCCCGGCCCCTCGTCACCTGCAGGTCTCCGGCCACATCTAAAAATAGAGCAGGGCGGCACAGGGGCTCCCTCCCCGCTGCTGTTTTCCCAGCTGYGGGATCATCCCAGCCCCCGGCATGACCCTGGCCTGGTTGTTGCGGGAAGCAGGGGGGATCCTCCAGCGAGGGTCCCAGCTGGCAGACCTGCTGGGCCTGGATCAGCACCAAGTGCCTGGGTTCCCTGGGGATGYGATGGCTGGAGCGGGAACCCCGTATGGGAGAGGAGAGCAGCGCGGGGAGCCGGGGCCCCCCTGCATGGGACACTCCCCGGCTCAGCCACAGCCGGGGTCTCCCCGCAGGGCTGCCCAGGTCCCTGGGGCAGGGGTGGCTCTTCAGAGGGTCTCACCGCCCACAAGGGCCCCTTGGCCGTGTCCCCGTCAGGCTGGTCCAGCCCACGAGACGCTCCCTGCCCAGGCTCGATCCGCACGACAGCCGGGAGCTGCACGGGAGGCCGGGKGACGACTGTGCAGCCAGCCAAAGGCCCCAGTCGAAATGCAGGAATGGGGACGAGGGCGCGGGCAGCCGCGGGGTGAATGGCGGCTCTGTGCCGCGCAGGGCACGGGGCCACGCGCAGCGCCGCGCACAGCGCCCCGGGGCCCAGCGCAGCGGACACGGCTCTCACAGCCCCGGGAGCTGCTGCCCGGGGCCGCCCCGGCCGGAGGTCACATAGTGGCACTTGGGACACGGCCAGGGGTGGCTCTGGGCCGTCCCTGCCCCCTCGGCAGCCCCTCTGCACCAGGGCGTCCTACCGGCTGTGCCCGGATCTGGCACCACGCGGCTCCGCTCCCCCTGTGCCCGCAGCCGGCTCCAGGGCACTTCAGCAACGAGACAGGGGCCAAGAGACAGCACCAGCCCCAACCCACCCGGGGGGCAGCGAGGCCCCTGCCCCCAGTACATGAACCAGCATCAGGGGCAATTGGCGGCAGCTGCAGCGGGAGGAGCCGGCCCTGTGGGACCCGCAGCACCGGGGCTGGGCAGGTGGCCTTGACGGGAGCAAGCGGGTGCCAGTGACAGGGGACGGGGCAGCGCGAGGGGCTCTGTGCTGGGTGGGACCCAATGGGTGCCAGTGACAGGGGACGGGGCAGCGCGAGGGGCTCTGCGCTGGACAGGACCGAGTGATGACAGGGATGGGGGACAGGGCAGCGCGAGGGGCTCTGTGCTGGGCCGTGTTGGGGTCTGGCTCCGGCCTCGCGCCCCGGCTGCTCTCTCCCTGTTGGCGCGGGGAGCCCCGTGCTGCTGCCTGAGCCCTGGCAGCGCTCGTACCGTGCAGCGGTGGAGGAAGAGGCCTCCCTCAGGCCGGCCTCCCCGCGGCGCGAGCCAGCAGCCCAGCTGCACCGTCTCGCAGYCTCCGCTTGTTTGCACAGCGCGTCCTCCAGCTGCTGACTAATCCCCGGGCGAGCGTCAGCGCGRCTGCCCCGTCCAGCCGGGGCTCGCGGCCCACGCGTTCCCAGCGCCCGGCCCTGCCGTGGCTGCGCGCCCGGCCCTCCGGGGAGCAGGGTGCACCGGGGAGCAGGGCTCAGTCGGGCTGCTCCGCATCTGGCCCTGGTTCTTGCTCCGGTTGTTTCCGTGCCACTCCGGGCAGGAGGTGCCTCGCGCTGCTGCAGCGTCCTGCAGCGCTGCCTGCGTCACGCCACCGGGGCCCAGTTCCCAGGCTCAAGCTCCAGACCTCGCTAGGGGCCCAGGGTGCAGAACGTGCCCCGCAGCAGCGGCCGCTGGACGTGGACGGGGAGAGGCAGCGGCGCGTGCGGCCGCGCAGGAGGCGCCGGCGCTGCACAGGGGTGCACATGCAGCCACCCCAGCCCCGTGGCGCCGCGCGTCCCCGCTCCCGCCATGCCGGGGACCGGGGAGCGGCGGGGCCGTCCGGGCTGCCGCCAGCCCCCTCCTCCTCCCCTCCTCCTCCCTCCCTCCTCCTCCTCCCCGCGGGGCTCGCTCTCCTCTCGCTTTTTCCCTGTTTTTGTCCTTTTTTCCCTTCCCATCGCAGAGCCGCGGGGGCAGCGAGGGAGCGGGCGCTGCTCCTGCCGCCGGGATGGAGCCTCGCGGGTGGCCGGGCTGCCAGGGCGCCCCGGAGGCCCCTGCTTGGCACTGCTGGCCCGCGGCGACGGGACCCCGCTGAGCAGCGCCCGCGGTCGGGAGCGGCCCCCGAGGAAGGAGGAGGAGGAGGAGGAAGGCTCGGGCGCCGCCGCCTGCCCCGGCCCCTCGGCCTCTCCCAGTGGACATGGTAACGCTTCTGCTTTCCTACTCCCAGCTCCCTGCGCCACGGCCCGCGCACCCCTCGCGTGGTGATGCCTGTGGAGCGGCCCGGCACGAGGGACAGGCCCCGGTGAGAGCCGCCCGCGGGCACCGCGAGAGGAGCCTCGGGGTGCCCCGGGGCTGCACCCACACCAGGACCCCCGGCCTCGCCGCTCGTTGCCCTGGCTGCGGCGCGCCAGGCGCTGGCCCCGCTCCCCGCGTCGCCTCTCTCCCTGGCCCTGGCGGTGCCAGACTCTGCTGAAAGGGGAAGCTGCCGGGGGAGGGAATTGGTATTCCCGTGCGGTCGCGGCTCGGAGCCGCGGCGGCCCCGCGGGACGGGCAGCTGCCCAGCCCTGCGGCCACAGGCAGGGCCGGCGCTGGCACAGGGGTGTTCGGGGGAGCCCCGGCCGCTCCGTAACGGCCCTTCGGCACTGCGGGCATCGCGGGAGCTCCCAGGACGGAGCCGGGCGCTGGTCCGGCACCTCCTGCAGCCGGGAGCGTGCGGAGCCGCCCCAGCCTTGCGCTCCGTGACCGCGGCTCATGGGTGGCTCGGGCAGSGACCGCTCCCTCCCAGCTTCGCCCSACGGCAGCGGCTTTCTGGATGGAAAAGCTGAGAAAAGTCAAGGAGAATTAAGCAGAGCATGACTGCAAAGTGCTTTAGCAAAGCGCATTAGAGCTAATTAAGCTGAATTAATCGGGGCCACTTTGTTTCTTGACGGGYCTCCCAACCGGGGATTAGTTGCCTGAATCTAATTCCCACTTCAGCTAATTCCAGTGAATGTCCGGACTGGAGCGCAGGTGCCCGGGCAGCCCCGCAGCAGCCGGCAGGGATAACGCGGAGCCCCGTCCCGCGCCGGACGAGGCAAAGCCCGAGCGTGCGGCTGCTCCTGCCGTCCCGGGCCTCGCGTGCCGAGAAGTCCCGACACCGTCCCTGCCCCTGCCCCTGCCCCTGTCGGTGTCTCCCCGTGCTGCCCCACTCCATGCACTGCCCTGCTCTGTGCTCCAGCCCCACGCACTGTCTGCAGCGTGTCGAGTTTGGCGGGAGCCACGWGGTGCTGGGACCAGGCTGGGAGCAAGGCCTGGGAACTGGGGTCTTCTCCAAAGCTGGGAGCACAAACTCGGGAACGGGCCTTTGYGAGGCGGGGAAGGAGCTTTGGGTCAGGCCTGTGTGCAGCGTGCGGGGCCGCAGAGCCCCTTCCAGAAACCCTCCCACAGCTGACTTGGAGCTCACCACATCCAGCAGCGAGGCTGCCCGGAAACCCTCACCCCGTGTGCAGCAGCTCGTCCTCCCTCCCTTCCCCTGGCATGGTGAATGCGGAGCCTCCCGGTGCCCATCCCGCTGACCCTGCACTGCCACCTGTCCCCGCCACGGTGCCCGCACGGGGAGGTGGCATCTGGGGTTTCCAGCCTCATGGCATGTCAGCGGGAGCAGCCTCCGCGCCGGGCGGCCTGCCCAGCGCCGCTCTCCTCCCCGCAGGACCCCGGCTCGCTGGACGCGGCGGTGCAGGACGCCCTGCGCGCTCTCTACCCGCCCTTCGAGGCCACGGCGCCCACGCTGCTGGGCCAGGTGTTTCGCCTCCTCGAGAGCCGCTACGGCGGGGACGGGCTGCGCTGCCTGCTCGACTTCCTCATCCCGGCCAAGCGCCTCTTCGAGCGCGTGCGCCAGGCGGCCTGCGTAAGCGAGGGGCTCTGCGTGGCCGGGCCCCTGGCACAGCCCCAGCCCAGGGCCCTGGGCAGCCACCTGAGGGTTTATCCCATGGGAGCCTCCTACGGCTGGCTTCCTCAGGGATGTCCCCCGGGTCCTGGGCTCTGCACATCCCCATTGAGGGAGTCACGAGGAGCTGGAGGGAGTGTCGGGACACGGCGCTGGGGGCCGAGGCTCCTGCCCAGGCCGCCCCCTCCTCCCGGCCAGGCTCCCTACATGGACTGCGTCTTCCTGCACGAGGGCTGGCCGCTGTGCCTGCGCGAGAAGGTCGTGGTGCACCTGGCGCCGCTCAACCCGCTGCTGCTGCGCGCCGGCGACTTCTACCTGCAGGCCGAGCCCTGCGCCGAGCGCGCCGCCCGCATCACCCTCAAGCACCTCTCCCGCGACCTGCGCACGGTGCAGGAGACGCCGCTGCCCGAGGCCACCTACGCGCTGCTCTTCACGCACGAGTGGCTGGAGGGCATCAACCGCGGGCAGGACGGGGCGCCGCTGCACGCCTGCCTGGTGGCCAGCGAGGACGGCGTGGCCCCGCTGCCCTGGAGCAGCATYGCCACGCCGCAGTTCGTGCAGCAGCGCCGGGCGGGAGCCTCCTGCCCCGCCGCAGCCTCCTCTCCGGCGGGAGCTCCGGGGGCGGCCGCGGAGCCGGCACCGCCGCGCGCTCCAGGGCGCCTGTGCGCGGCCAGTGCGGCAGGACCCTACTGCAACCTCRTGGGCTGCAGCGACGGCTGCAGCGCCTCGTGCCACGGGAAATACCCGGGGCTCATCAAGGTGGAGCAGCTGGCACCGCGGCAGGAGCCGGCGCCGCGGCCGGTGCCCGGCCCGGGCGAGACCCTCAGCCCGGAGCTGGCCGGGGAGTACGTGGAGCTGCTGGAGCTGTCGCAGGAAAAGCTGGAGCTGCTGGCACGGTCGCTGCCATCGGCCCAGAGGGCTCAGGGCCAGCGCCGCAGCACCGGAACAGGCTCCGAGGGCACCTGCATGCCCGGCCCAGGCAGGGGGCTCCCCAGGGACCCCCGGTGCCTCGGGCCCCGCGGCCGCTACCGCGACTCCTACCTGGCCGCCCTGCAGAACCCCGTGAGCTTYGGGCCCGGGCTCATGGGTGCCATCCTGGAGGAGCCCGCAGGCCCCAGGGACGCGCCAGGCGCGGGCACCAGCACAGAGCAGTCCCGACCCTGCCCCGGCAGCAGSCCCGTGCGGCTCCGCTGCTGCCCGCCCGCCGGCGCCGAGGGGGCCCCCGTGCACGGTGACCCCGACCCGCTCCRGCCCCCGGCTCGCCCAGAGGCACCGGCCTCCAGCCACAGGTTCTCCTTCCTGAAGGGCGCCCGGCTCGGGGCATCGCCCGGGGGTGGCTGTGCSGCGGACCGGGCCGCCGGCCACCCCGAGGGGCCCTGGAGGAAGATGACGGCCATTTACTCGCCCAGGATGGGCCGAGCTAAAGGCACCAGCAAAGGTAGCGGCACAGGGCCCGGCTGGGGCCCAACGCGGCAGAGCTCCGATCTGGCACCCCTGCCCTCTCCTTCCCTCACCTCCATCTCGCTCTCATGGGCAGGGCCAGCCCTGGTGGCAGATGCCACCGCAGAGGACGGGTCCCCACCGAGTACCCACAGTGCCACTGAGCCCCACCAAGCCAAACACGGTGCCCCGCGGCCGCTGGCCTGGCAGGACCTGCACACCGGGCTCCTGCTCTCCGGCATCGTGTGTCTGCCAGGTACTGGGCACCCAGGCTGCCTCCGCTGCCACGGAAGCGCTCACTGCTCCTCGGGCTTTGCAAAACTGCCAGGGTTTTGCAGCCGTTTCTGCCTGTGGGGGCTACTGCCCTCAGGGGAGCAGGCTCCAGTGCTCCGATGCTCCTATACTCCAGTATTCCCATGCTCTGATGTTCCCATGCTCTGACGCTCTTGCACTTCATTATTCCCATGCTCCAACGTTCCCATGCTCTGGTGCTCCAGGGCCAGTGGCTCCGCATCTGCCTTCCTTTGCAGGGAGCACCGACAAGCTGGGCCGGCCGCTCCTCCAGGTGAGCGCGAGCGGCAGCGCCTGGGAGGCTCCGTGGTGCTCGGCCGACGAGGTGGCGCGACTGCTCCTCTACCTGTGCTCCGTGCCCAGGTAGGCGCCAGCGCTCCGGGGTCCCCCTCGGCTGCCTCGGGGGTCCCAGCAGTGTGGGGTGCCCAGAGTGGGGAGCCCAGCRTGCCATGCATGCCAGCTTGGGCACATCCCAGCCTGTGCCAGCTTGAGCACATGCCATGCATGCCAGCTTGGGCACATCCTGCACACTCTAGCATGGGCACATCCCCGCCCGTGCCAGCTTGGGCACACGCCATGCACAGTAGCCTAGGCACATCCCTTACACACGAGCTTGGGCACATCCTGGCTTGGGGACATCCGAGATGCGCCAGCTTGAGCGCGTGCCGGCGCGTGCTGGCCTGGGCACCTGCCATGCACAGCAGCCAGGCACATTCCGACCCAGGCACATCCCAGCCCATGTGGTGCCATGCCCTCCCGCCCGCTCCGCTTGGCAGTCAGCTGGGATGAGGAGCCGGAGCGGCGCCTCTGCTGAGGCCGGGGCACCATCTCCCAGCTCTGGTGCCCTGCAGGACGAGGGCATCAGCGTACCCCTGCAGTGCCCCGACTCGGCGAGGGCGGCGCTGCCAGGGCCGCGCTCCCCGTGCCTCTTGTCCCAGGGCTGTGTCTTGTTTCCTCCCGCCAGGAAGGACGCGGCGGCTGGGGGGCTGACGGTGCTCGTGGACGCGAGGAAGCAGCCGCCGTCCCCGGTGCTGTACGCGGCGCTCCGCTCCGTGCAGGTCTGTGATGAGTGGCCCGCGGCCGCCCGGCTCTGCCGGGGCTGTGACGGTGGCGTGGGGCGCGCAGGGCGCTAAGCGCTGGCCCTGCCTGTCTTCGTGCCCACAGAGCCGCGCGCCCGGCGCCATCCGCACGGTCCTGCTGCTGGCCGAGAAGGAGCTGGCGGTGCCGCGCGAGAAGCTGCCCGGGCTGCAGGTGAGTGTCCTGCCTGCGCCCACACATGGGAGCCCCGCAGCCCTGTCCAGGTGGGATGCGTGGGGTCGGAGTGCCCTGAGCCCAGCCTGAATGCCTCGGCTCCCGTCTGTGTCCCCACAGGTGGAGACGGTGCYGTCACTGCGGGCTCTGGGCCGCTACGTCGACAGCTCCCAGGTGACGCACGAGCTGGACGGCTCCTTCCCCTACTGCCACGGCGAGTGGGTGCAATTCTTCCAGGTGTCTGTGCCCGCGGTCGCGGCCCTGCTCCTGCACCCCGGGTGCCCTCGGGTGTCACATCCCCTCCGCGCGGCCGCCGGCCCCGCTGACACCGGCTCTCCCGCAGCGGCTGCAGCCCTTCACGGGCAGCCTGCAGCAGGCGCTGGAGCTGCTGCGGAGCTGCACCCGGGAGCTGCGCGGCACCGCCGGCCCCGCGGGACCCCAGGTAACCACCGGGCTGCGCCCTGCTCCTATCCCTGTCCTGCTGCCCYGGCCTGGTGCTCCGGCCCTGCCCCACGCTCCAGCCCGGTAGCTGCTTCCCACGCTGTGCCCAGTGCCAGCTCTGCAGGATGGAGCGTGGGGCCGGGAGCCGCACACTAAGCAAATGCCCATGTCCGTGCCCGCAGGAGGCGGCCGCCCGCATCGCGCGGCACGGGGAGCTGATGCGCGCGCTGCTGCGCGAGCCGCAGCTGGCGGGGCTGCAGCGCGACGGCGGCGCCGCGCTGGCCCGGCTGCGCAGGGAGGCTGCCCGCCTCGGCGCCTCGCCCCATGCCAGGTAAGCGCGGGACACGGAGCGCCCGGCGCCGCTGGCCGTGTGCCGGCCCCCCTGCTGCRCCGCGCGTCCCCACCGAGCCCCGGGCAGCTCCCCAAGCGCTGGTCCCGTGGACACTCTCCCTGTGCCTCTTGTCCAGGCTGCAGGCGCCCGGCGGGGTCATCTCGGGGCTGCCACTAGATGGGGCCAGGCCCTGGCGCAGCTGCGTGGCCGGCAGTGCCGCGGGTGTCGCGCCGTGCTGTGCCGCGCGCATCCGTGCACAGGCGACACCGAGCCTGCCCCCGAGGCTGCCCACACACGTCCACAGTGTCACACGTGTCCTGCTGCACTGTGCACATCCACGATGCCAAGTCTGCCCTCGGTGCTGCCCGCRTGCTCCCCACAGTGTCACACAGGTCCTGCCACGCTGCACATGTCTACGGTGCTGTTCACACCCCTCCCTGGCACACTCTCCCTGCTGTGTCCCACGAGGCTGCTGCTGTCCTGCCCTGCTGCCCATATCCCACACAGAGCTGCACACACCAGGCAGTGCTGCCCATATCCCACACGATGCCACACGCACCGGGCAGTGCTGCCCGTGTCCCACACGATGCCGCACGCGCCGGGCAGCGCTGCCCTTGGCCCGYGGTGCCACGCGCACCGGTGCCACACAGCACCAGCACTGAGCGCACACCCGGCAGGAGCAGCCTGGAGGCAGCCGAGCGCCTCTACGAGCAGCTGGAGGAGGAGCTGCACGAGCTGGTGTCCACGTCCAACAGCTGCCTGCAGCACCTGGAGGTCCTGCGCAAGGCCGGGGAGCTGGAGGCCGAGCTCGGAGAGGTGAGCGGGGCCTGGGCCCTTGCAGAGCAGCGAACGAAACCTGCCCCTTTCCAAGGCTTTTGATGGTAAAGGAAAGCTGGAGTATAGCAGGATTGCCCGGAGCTTTGATTTTAATTACGGGGATGCTGGGCGCAAGCAAGCCAGGGATCAAGATAACCGGAGGGAAGGAAAGGGAGTTCCCAAGGAAGCCGTTTGCGGATCGCGGCTCCAACGGGAACCGCTTTCTCCCCTTCCTGTGGCAGCTCGGGCGCTGGCTGGATGGCGAAGTGGCAGCTCGGCGGGAGGAGTTGAGTGCCTGGGGCAGCCCCAATGGCTCCGGGGAACCTTCCGAGCGCTTTGAGGAGCTCCTCGACCAGGCAATGGTATGTGAGGGGGAGGTTTTCTGTGACACTGGCCTCAGGGCATCCCCACCGTGAGAGCTGCTTTGCGGCTCAGGCTCCCTGCTAGGCACTCAGCAGAGAGATGAAAACGCAGAGTGAGAAGCGTCATTGCACGTGTCCGTGCAACCGGCCCSAGATTTGGTTTGCAGCAGGGCTCTCCTGCAGCTGCCCAGGCTGCGCGGCAGCTCTCGGTGCCCACCGAGGTCTGTGCCTGCACATGGGGGTGTCCTGCTCCCCGGGGTGCCTGGGGCTGCGGTGGCAGCTCCGCAGAGCTGGGCACAATGGGGCTGGCCCCCCATCCCCTTCACTTCTCACACACCCGCGGGGATCCTCTGGGTGCAGCGCAGAACGGCAGCACCGCTGCTGAGGGGCCCCCCGGCCRTGCCTTGCAGATCACAGGAGCGGGTGCGGAGCGCAGGGAGAGCCCGGCCGGGAGCCTGGCGGACGCGCRCGGCTCCTCGCGGCCGCTCTCGCTGCACGGCTCCCTGGGCAGGCTGCAGGAGATGGTGCTGCAGGTGCGGGGCGCGCGCGGGCGCCGCGG